TTGCTTGCCAGAAGGTTGCAAAAAGTGATCAGGTGACCCTAGGACATTGAAACTGTCATAAGTATGAGTCAATTGCCAAGCGTCTGAATTTGAATCACCGGCCATGGGGCAGCTGCAATGGTTGTAAGCATGAAAAACTGTCGTAAGTCACTTTTTTTTCAGTGCCATTGTAACTTTGAACAGTCATTAAATGAATTGTTGTATTGAAGACTACCTGTATAAGGTACACCTTTGGTAAAGCAATGTTAAGCACGGGGAGAAAATGATCAGAAATCCTAGGGACATTTTATATTCACTGAATTGGATTTAGTTCGTGCAAAACACGAAGCAGAGATCGGCTACGTTAACTAAAGGTTTTGCATGGTTTTCAGACCGTGAATGACAAATTCTGCATCTTTCCCTCACTCTGCTTGAGTGCCTGTGTTGAGAAATAAGGGTGATAAAAACCCAAAAAAATCAACCTTTGCAACGTCCATTAAAAAAAAAAAAATCAGCGCAACGGAGTTTCAAAAATCACAAAGCAAATCCAAACTTTAAACAATGGTTGCCGTTGCACGCAAAGCCACAGGAAACTGAGCTGGGCTTCTCTGGCAATTAATTGCTTCCGCTGTATATAAAATTGAAAGTATTGGTTATTCTGGGGCGGAAAAAGGATATCCTGAAAGCTTGTTCCCACTTCCTGAGCAAAACTCTATTGCGGAAACTTTCACCCTGAATACATTTATAATAAATTATCCAATGATGACAAAGAAGACAGCGAAAAAAAAACCCAAGGCTTACTGGAGTTTGTGTTATTCTTTCTTATTGTGTGTATGTGTATGTGTGGATTGTATTTTGACCTTGCTACTAGCAGATTTAAATTTTAATTCTCTGCAGACTTCTGAACTGCCCCCTGCAAGCATGAATCTCTTGTAATATGTAAAGCTGCTGAAGATATGAACTGCTAGGGCCAACAGTCTCAAGAAATCACTTTATAAAAAGTAGGTAAATTGTAATTTGCCCCTATTATAATCTGGCTTTGCTTCCCTCGGTGCAATCACAGGTAATGCTTGATTTATAACCAGTTGCTTAGCCTTCAAAGTTGATGATTCCTTGATTCAGCTGCTGTTTACTGTTTGATGGTTTATTTTTCTGAGTTGGTAGTTCCTTGATTTGAGGTGTTGTTTACAACTTGGTTCTAGGTGTAGTATTAACCCTGATCTCTGCTTAGGAGCCACCAAGAACCCTCCCACCAACACTGACAGGGCAAGCTCCTGTATATAAACACAGATCAAAGCCCACTACCTTCTGGCACTGATGCTGTTACCTAGTTGGGTCATGAAATGTCTGCAAGAAAACCACCAAGATCAGAGAGCACCAAAGCCGCCACAGTACTACTACCCGGTTTCCCCAAAAATACAACCTACCCTGAAAGTAAGCCCTAGTTTGATTTTTTACACATGCACCCAATATAAGCCCTACCCCCCAAAATAAGCCCAAATTAAGATCCTGCCCACTCCAGAGTGCACGGGTAAAAATTAAGCTAGGGTGGGGATGGGGGGGTAGAGCTGCCCTACTACTTACCTTTGGACAGATGTAGCCAGGCCTTGCACACCCCAACACCTGACTTGCCGGCCCATTTCTTCTGCAGCCAACAAGGATTTCCTAAAGGCCTTTGTAGCTGATAACTGTTATTGGCTGCAGAGGCCTTCAAGAAAGCCTTGCCGGTTACAGAAGTTCCTGAAGGTCTCAGACAGTGAAAAGGAGGCCAGGGGTAACACGTGCAAATGAGTTAGTTGGTGGATGACATCCCCCGAAAATAAGACCTGGTTCTTTTTTTGGTGGAAAAAATATATATAAGATAAGGTCTTCTTTTCAGGGAAACACCTTCTTCTTCTTCTTCTTCTTCTTCTTCTTCTTCTTCTTCTTCTTCT